CAGATTCTCTCCTCATTCTGCACACGATCGTGCGAGCTTCATCCACTCTGCAGTCGGAGGCCTCTACGCTGCTGTGTGAGTCTTCAAAACATAAAACACAACACAACTCACATTTATACTGTAGGGTGCAAATGTTACATGACGCTCTATTTTATTTTGTGCATTGAAAAAAACTGTGTTGAAACGCCGGAAAATCAAAAGATATATATTAATATCACCAAAATGATTGAATGCTTTGAGGTAAAAGTGGAGAATGGATAAAGGAATAATGTAAGTAAATGATGACGTACATTAAGTTAAATATTCTCCACATCATCTGTTGCTTTCCTCACATTTATACGTCAAATTAATACATAAATATCAACTTTATGTCCATTTTCTACATCGTTTTAGCTTCTACGAGTGCTTTTAAAGAAATAAAAGACCACTTGTAATATTTGTAACTGGAGAAATGGCGCCACCTACTGTTTTCTTCCATGAACAACAGCTAATAATCACATAACAGTAGTGGATGGGAACAGAAATTCATTCACTCTTGCCCATTTTCTTTAAATTTGATCTAAATATAATATAATTTTCAACCTTGTTTTGTTTTTTAACAATAAAACAAACCATGGCATTTATCCCCCAGACATTTGTCATTATATATTCTCTACTATCTCCCTGTATTTTAAGGATTAATGCCGTTAGAAACTAGAAGAATATAACAACCCTTTCTCCTGTTCCAACTTAAATTCACTATATTAGAGGCATACCTTCAAACATATATGTTACACGTGTATTTTAAACATATACACGCATTAATACACACATTAATACACACATTAATACACACAAATACACACATTAATACACACATTAATACACACATACACACATGAATACACACATTAATACACACATCCACACATGAATACATACACACATTAATACACACATTAATACACACATACACACATTAATACATACACACATTAATACACACATTAATACACACATACACACATTAATACATCCACACATGAATACATACACACATTAATACACACATTAATACACACATACACACATTAATACATACACACATTAATACACACATTAATACACACATACACACATTAATACACATACACACATTAATACATACACACATTAATACATACACACATTAATACATACATTAATACACACATACACACATTAATACATACACACATGAATACATACACACATTAATACATACATTAATACACACATACACACATTAATACATACACACATTAATACACACATTAATACACACATACACACATTAATACATACATTAATACACACATTAATACACACATACACACATTAATACACACACATTAATACACACATTAATACACACATTAATACACACATACACACATTAATACATACACACATTAATACACACATTAATACACACATACACACATTAATACACACATACACACATTAATACACACATACACACATTAATACATACACACATTAATACACACATTAATACACACATACACACATTAATACATACACACATTAATACACACATTAATACACACATACACACATTAATACATACACACATTAATACACACATTAATACACACATACACACATTAATACATACACACATTAATACACACATTAATACACACATACACACATTAATACACACATACACACATTAATACACACATACACACATTAATACATACACACATTAATACACACATTAATACACACATACACACATTAATACATACACACATTAATACACACATTAATACACATACACACATTAATACACACATACACACATTAATACACACATTAATACACACATACACACATTAATACATACACATTAATACACACATTAATACACACTACACATTAATACACACATTAATACACATACACACATTAATACATCACACATTAATACATACATAATACACATACACACATTAATACATACACACATTAATACACACATTAATACACACATACACACATTAATACACACATTAATACACACATACACACATTAATACACATACACACACATTAATACACACATTAATACACACATACACACATTAATACACACATTAATACACACATACACACATTAATACACACATTAATACACACATACACACATTAATACACACATACACACATTAATACACACATGCACACATTTGAATCTAATAATCTGGTAACAGTCATGACTTCCTGATTGCACTAATTAAAAACATGTTTTTTTAGATTAGAGTTGAGGTGTTGTCCTGTATACTGTACATGAACACAATTAACATACACTATATAAACAACAACAACAACAACAAACACAATGAGTGGGTTTCTTGTCGGTAAATAGATGAAAAATAAGAGAAAGATTTCCAATGAACTAAAAGCTCTTTTTATGCCCAAACATTTAGATTTTTGGCACATTTGACAATCAACATTTAAGTAAAAAGTGAAACCTTTATCTAATTGCCTCTACGTGTGTGTTGTCCCCTGCAGGTACCCTTCCTCTCAGTTCGGCAGCCTGACGGGGATGCAGTCTCTGATCAGCGCTCTGTTTGCTCTCGTGCAGCAGCCGCTGTTCATGGCCATGGTGGGACCGCTGGAGGGAGACCCCCTCTGGGTGAGAGGGGACACACACACACACACACACACACACACACACACACACACACACCCCACACCACACACACACACCACACACACAACACAACCCCACACCACACACCCACACAACACACACACCCACACACACACACATACATACACACACACCACACACCATACATACCACACACCCACACACCACCACACATACATCCACACCCCACACACCCACACCCCACCCACACACACCCACACACACCCCACCCCTACACACCCACCCCCCACACATCACCCGCCACACACACCACCCCACTACCCACACACCCCACACCACCCCCCCCCACCTCCCTCCCACGCACCACCCCCACACCTCCCTCCCCACCCCCACCCCCACCCACCCCCCGCACCCCCCCCCATACATCCCACCCCCACCAACCTTAAAATGATAAGATAGAGAAACAGATGAATGCAACTACACTCAAGACTCAAATAAATACAGAAGAATAAAACACATACAGAGACACACAAGTTCTACAAAATTACACAAAACGACAACAAATGACAACAAAATGACACAAAATGACACAAAAATACATAAAATCACTGAAATCAAGAACTAAAAAGAACCGGAATCTATAAAATCCAAATCGGTACCCAGCCCCTCTCCTAACCCCCCCTTTTGTTTCCTCCCCTTGTTTCCTCCCCTTGTTTCCTCCCCAGGTGAACGTAGGCCTGCTGGTGCTAAGCATGCTGGGATTTTGCCTCCCGCTCTACCTGCTGATCCACAGCCGGACGCTGCAGCGCCGCCGCGACGAGCAAATGGACGACCCCAAGATCTACCTCAAGGTCAACGAGGACAGCAAGACCGAGGCCTTCGTCTGAGGGCGAGATACACCCCAAAATACAGGAGAGAGAGAGAGAAGAGAGAGAGAGGAAGAGGAGAGGAAGAGAGAGAGAGAGAGAGAGAGAGAGAGAGAGAGAGAGAGAGAGAGAGCGAGAGGAGGTAACCTCAGAAGAAGAAATCCTCTAATTTCCTTCACTCTCCATTTCACTGCCAATAAGGATTGGTCGAATCAAACACCACTGTGACACCAAGTCTCACTGATGCTGTACACACTGGGACACACACACACACACACACACACACACACACCACACACACACACACACACACACACACACACACACTCTGCCTCGACGGGTTTAACCTCTGACAAAAACAAACACAGAAGAAAAAAAAAGAAGACAGCAGCCAATGGAAACAGAGATTTTGAAGAAGTTGTTTTTAAGACTTGCATGTCCTTTGGGAGACACACACACACACACACTCCCTCGTCTGCATCACACTAAGGACAAAAAAAACAACGCCGGACTTTTAATATCTCCCCGAATATCTTTTATTCACTCTTGTGACGGTCGACTGGTTTAACCTGCCAAAAAAAAGAAGATTTCAACCCAAAGGGGAACAGGATGAGGAGATTTTGGAAAAGATAAATGTGTGTGTGCTTTGAATACACCTGTCCTTTGGGAGACACACCACACACACACACACACACACACACACACACACACACACACACACACACACACACCACACCACACACACCACACACACACACACACACACACACACACACTGTAGGGCATTAATATAGTGGCAGTATTGGTAGCAGGTATCAACGTTATGATGCCAGAGAACGAGCTGGCCCCAGATCAGGGACGTGCACAAAAACATGTTTTATTTTTGTTATAACTTACAGCAAATTAAATTGAACTACAATGTGTTGAGAGGCATTTCTCCGCAGGACAGTAGAACACTTAACTTGCAAATAAATGCATTGTCAAAAATAGGAAAACAAAACAATACAAATTGAGATAATTGCAGAAAAAAAGGCATATTTTGGAATATTGGAAATTGGATTTATGATATGTTTACAATAAAAGTCTGCAGTTAGAAAGTGCTGACCCCAGATCAGGGACGTGCACACATTTGTGATAGACATGCCTCTGCGGGACACAGAGAGCTGTAAACAACTAATAAATAGTATTTTCTCAGTGGAAAACTTTGCAGAGGATTCTCAAAAGAAATGCATTGGAAATACTATCATAAAATTGGGGAAAATAATAAAAGAAATAAGGAAAAATAATAAAAGAATTGGGGGGAATAATCAAAGAATCGACAAACTTATCTAAAATTGGGAAAAATACAGATTTTAGATTTGAGATTGCCTTTACGTTGACCTACACTAAAAGTCTGCAGTGTCTTTTTTTCTAAGTGATTGAAAGACTGTGGTTAGTTCAAGTACATGCTGTAAAATCAGACTATAGCCACTCGGTGCACGTCCCTGAATTTATTACCTTTCCCTCACTGCAGGAAATCTACTTTTTTTTTAACGTCTGCTTTTTGTTCCACTCGTGATTTGTGTGTTTTGAAATACTGTTTTTCTTTTTCTCAAACGTATTTTCTTGCAATATGATCGCTGATATTGAATCTTTGCTCCCTACAGTATATATATCATTTTGGCGGTGTGTGTGAGGAAATAGAGTAGGTAGACAAAGATATTAGACATGGTGTGTGTGTGTGTTTAAAGTGTGTTTTCCACCAGCTACACACACACACACGTCAGGATTTGTTGTAGCAATAAGTGCTTCTGTGAGGTGTAGAGCTCAAAGTCACCAGGTGCTAATTGAACCCATTGTGTTATTGCCGTTAATCCAATTAACTAAAAGGAGATGGTTTTTTGTTCGACACAGGTTACAGTTTCAGATAACTTTACACTTTGATATCTTTTGCGGTAACACAAAACAAACACCTCTAAAGGACTTATATATATTGAGATTTTCTTGAAGGCAGCAGGCTAATAACTTCCTTAAAGAGCTTCTGAGAAAAGTGAGATTTAAGAAAAACAACTTAAGAAAATTCATATTTGTCTTTGAGTAAACCCAATTAAATTGTTGTATCTACAGTTTAGATGTTTTTCAGAACTCATAAACTTGTTTTTAACTACAAGTTTTTATCTCTCTTCCTTCTTCTCTAATAACTATAAAAGTACAAAGTAAAAAAAAAACATAATAGCCTCGACCATGGTCTTTCGTCAGGGACTCATTCTATATCTTTCTAGAGAAACCCCTGATATATAAGTTGAGTTTTATTCAGCCTGCTGCCTTTAAGAAGCTCCTCAGATAACGTCCAAACTCACAGAGGCACTTCCAAAGATGGCGGTGACCCTCAGAGTGCCTCTCTTCACTTCCTGTCAACATTTAAAATGTGTTTACACTGATCAGGTGTTCTTTGGATGAACCTAAACATTTCCACACTGGCTTGCTTTCAACCTGTTTGTCTAACTGAATGTTTCCTAACTTTTTTAAACTAATTTGAATCAATCTTAATGAGTTAAGTCGTCCCAACTTCAATTAAGTCCAACTTCAATTATGTCCAACTTCAATTAAGTCCAACTTCAATTAAGTCTAACTTCAATTAAGTCCAACTTTAATTAAGTCCAACTTCAGTTATGTCCAACTTCAATTAAGTCCAACTTCAATTATGTCCAACTTCAATTAAGTCCAACTTCAATTAAGTCCAACTTCAATTAAGTCTAACTTCAATTAAGTCCAACTTCAATTATGTCCAACTTCAATTAAGTCCAACTTAAATGATGTCCAACTTCAATTAAGTCCAACTTCAATTAAGTCTAACTTCAATTAAGTCCAACTTCAATTATGTCCAACCTCAATTAAGTCCAACTTCAATTAAGTCCAACTTCAATTAAGTCCAACTTCAATTATGTCCAACTTCAATTATGTCCAACTTCAATTAAGTTCAACTTCAATTATGTCCAACTTCAATTAAGTCCAACTTCAATTATGTCCAACTTCAATTATGTCCAACTTCAATGATGTCCAACGTAAATGATGTCCAACTTCAATTATGTCCAACTTCAATTAAGTCGGTCAGAATCAGAATACCTAATAATAAAAATAAATAAATGTACATTGTTACAGCAGAAAAGAGCCAAAGACACATAAGAAGCATGCATACAAAAGTATTTAAAAAAGTTACACCATTTACAAGGAAAGAAACCCTTTTTATAATACTTTCCGTGTTTTATTTAGGTTCATCCGAAGAGTTATTTGTGAGTGTTTGTGTGCAGAAGACGGGAGTAAGAGTAGATTAATGTTTCATGTCAATCCCCCAGAGCTGAGAGACGAGCCTCTGAAAGACTTCCGGTGCTCTCCATGAATGATTAGTGAGAAACGAATGGCACACGATGCACTTTACACCCGAGAGATGGACCTCAGTCAGGATTTAAAAGAATGTAAAACTCCAGATTCAGAACTTAATAGACGGACGGAAAGACGTTGTTATTTTTTATATATATTCACAGATTTTAGACTTTTACTATTATATCGCCTTTACGTGCACGGACGGTCGCATAGAGGCTCGTCTCTCAGCTCACTACAACCTTCAGATATTAATCAGATATATTCTCATCTTTATGAAAGTGCATGACCGTGAGGAAAGAGGAATGGAAGGAGGGACATTACTTACACCTGTTTAGTGAGTAAAATGAAAGGTACGGAAACCCTTAAGTGCCATTTTTCAAGCTTAGTTTCATCATAATGAGTATAAAAAATGTGGTTTTGAGAACGTTTTTTTTACCAAGATAAGAGGATTTTCTTGAGATTTCCAGATAAAAAAACGAAAGATATATAATCATTTAAACTGCATAATGTTTCTCATCAATTAAATACAACATTTGTAATCTAAAAAGAAGAGAAATATCTTCATATTTTGAGAAAAAACAATCAAATGTATTCATTCAAAATGACCTT